GAGACAAACTTCCGTTTAGGCCTGTATCATCATGTCACCATTGGCTGCATTATGGGTCTCCATGTACCCCTGACACTGTGCAGGTCCCTGATGCTGTTAGACTCAGGCACAATCCAGTTCAGCATCAACTCAGGTGCCTTCCCCAACACCATCTCAACTCAGATAGCATAGCGTATTACAAGGCCTTGTTTACTGGGGATTAGGACAGTATGGTAAACACAAAGTTTTGCCCTGGAATTTAGTGCTGGGCTAGTGAAGCCTAATGCGAGGTAGATACTAACTGTACCTACCCTGACCCTGCTTATGGACAGAGCCTCCAGAAAAGCTCCAGTTCTGGGGAAATCAAAGGTCCAATGCAGAAGACTTCTATTCCTGTCAGCATTACCTGTGACTGGTAACCATATCCATTGGCCTCTATTGACTAAGTGCCATTACTCAGCCTCTGCCTCAGCCACCCCATCTCATTTTCCATCAAGGTCCCTTGCCTGCAGAAAATAAACACTGTGCTTTTCAAGGATGCTGATCCACTTTATTGCCATTATGAAGGAAAAGTCTTCTAAGATATCTCAGGGGGCGTAGTATGTGTTGGACAAGCCAATTGCATAATCCAACACTACCATCTCCCTAAGAATTGAATTCCTTCTTTTACATCAGATAGAGATATTTTTGGCATCCTAAGTACACTTCGTGTGAGCCACTGTTGAGTACAGATTTTAGCCCAGCAACTAAGCAAACAGAACCACCAGCTTTAACACATAATATATGGCAAGGACTGCCTTGTTCATTAATTCATCCCAACTTAAAATTATTTTGATCGCTCTTTTTTGTTATTCCTGTTTTTGTTTCTCCTTTTGTTGTTGCTGTTAGTTCTATTCACCAAAATATTAAGACATATTAAAGATTTTCTAAGTATGATCACTTTGTTAAACATTTCAGAGGTTACAAAAGAGACATTGGGCCTACTACACAGCCTCCAACTATCCTCCAGTCCTTCCTTTTAATGTTCAAGTATTTATCAAAAGCCTATGATATCTAATCAACTTGATAACTTATATCCCCAGAAAAACACAAACTACAAAAAAAAAGACTTAAAAAGAAATACAAAATATAGACATGTAACATGAAAGAGATTTAACTAGTAATCAAACTATAGCCTGTATTCCAGATAAAAAGTGGAACACAAATTTTCACATCAGCATTATTTATAAAATCCAAAAGGTACAAACAAGCCAAGGTCCGTGGGCTGATAAAATATAGTGTATCTATATAATACAATATAATTTAACAATAAATGAGAATGCCATATTAATAAATGCTTTAACATAGATGAACTTTGAAAATGTGCTAAATGAAAAACTCTACCCATAAAATATCACACAATATATGATTGTATTAACATCAGATATCCCGAATAGTCAAATCTATACAGTAGCTGTGTAGAGGTAAAAGAACTTGGGGGAAATGTGAACTGACTGCTAAAGGTACAGATAATTTATATGGAGTGGTAAAACTGTTCTAAAATCAATTAAGTTGTATTGGCTAAATTGTATTGACTTTACAACTATGTGTGTATACAAATAATCAGCCAAAGAAAATGCTAAATTTGTATAAACACAAGACATCCTTGACATACTGTTTTAAAAATTAAATCAGGCTTGGGAAGGCCTTAATTTGGGAAATACCAGAAACTTCTCATTATTACAGATATAAGAACTGAGCAATTAAAAATATAAACTAAATTTTGACTTTTAAAATATTTCATTCAAGTCATATAACTTCACTGTAAACTAAGTAAATAATATTGCTAAGCTAAAAGAAAACATTTTTTCATCACACATGGCGATGCCACTCAGAAGTAACACTCATATCATTTTATCACTTTTTTTATTCTGGTATATACATGGGAATGCAGAACACCTATAGGTTTGTGAGCTATATCTTCTAGTCATAATTGTATAAAGAAGAAATGCATAGCTTCATCACTAAGCTTTTTAAGATTATAACACATGAATGACTTATGATTAAAACCTGAGAACAAATATAAAGGCCCCTAAATTATTATTAAAAAGTAATGATGAGGAAATGGCATGAAAAATATAAAAATAGGATCCATAAAATACCCTCTAACAGACTGTGAGGGAAAAGGTAGCAGTGTGATTAGAACAGCAATAGCAGCGATAAAACCTAGGGGCCACCCTGACCTTTCCATAGGATAGCTGTCCACAGTAGATCTCAGCGTCTTTACAGGCTGTTTAGAGAATTTTTTCCTTGTTTTTCATTTTTTATTGTTAATGTTAATTACTATATATCTTTCATCTTAGTCACATCTGTATTATTTAAACTATTTCATATTTAGACATTTAAATTATCCTCCTTTGATTTTACATAAACAGCATAAAATAAATATTCTTGCTTAAATATCTTTACACATATATTGAACTATTGCCTTGGGATAAGTGATTAGAAGTAGAATATTCGAGCTCAGTAATATATACATGAATATGATGTACACTACCGCATTTCTCAGAATAGTTCATTCAGTAACAGCCAGCAGTATATTCAAAAATTACCTGTTTCCTATATCACAGTGGAAACTATGTGCTTCCAATCTTTTTAATCCTCGCCATTCTCAGTAAAGATTTATCATTTTAATGTGCATTTGTTTTGTGCTTTAATGTTTCATATGTTTCATTAGCAAAATTAATATTTACAGCCTTAATCCATTTTTATTAGTTTTTTTATTGTATAAATGCCAAGGATCTTAGTCTCTTTTTGGTCATGAATGTTACAAATATATTTTTCCAGTTTTACAAATATTATGTTTTTGCCATTTGGAACCTCAAGTCTTTATGATCAAATGTTTTAGTCCTTTCTTTCTGATTTTTTGCCATTGAAATAATGCTTAGAAAGTCTTTCATAGCCTAAGACATATACCTATAGCTTCTCCAACAACTGTTTTGACTTCAAGTATTCAAATGTTGAATTCATGTGGATTTAAATAGAGCTCAAAATTAATTTTTTGCTACATTGTTAACCAAGTATTTTGACACCATTATAAATTATTTCTTCTAATTTGAAATGCTACTTTTTTTCAGATTTCAATTTTTGCTCTACATGAAGGTATATTTCCAAACTCTTTATCTATCCTCCCTCATCTGTCTGAGTCTATCTGCAATGAAACCCTTTCATTTACTGAGCTGATCATCCGTTAACACTAGGCCCCTCATCTGGTCTTGCTGAGCAATCTCACTGATGACTGCAGTCCCTGCTACGATTTCCAATCCTTCTAGAGGTATGACATAAATGACTTCTTTATCTCCGGTTTTCACTTTGTTAGATGACACCCACAGATGGGTTACTTGAACCTTAGCAAACTATATAATGTAATTGCTAGTTTTATTCAGTAGTTGTAATCTTGACATTCTCACTATTTCTTGAAAGTTCTGGTATAGCAGCTATATACTTCTTCAAAATATTTGAACTGGTCATTTACTTCTCATGTAATTTTCCTTATCTAGGTATTCACACGTGTAAGTTGTTTACTTCCTTCATATTTTTACTGAAATGTCACTTCATCAAAAATGCCTACACAAACCTCTTGTTGGAGTTGAATTGTGGCCCCAGTTCATATATTGAAGCCTTACCTTCCCAGGTAATTTCATTTGAATATGGGAGATATAAAAATGCAAACATTATGTGTGATAGTACAAACAAATTTTCTGTGGAAAATGAGATAATATAGTAGCCATTGTTCATTCTCTGTTATTTGGTTCTGAATGCCCTGTAATACTTTCATTCCCTTGAATGGTCTTATACTATTTTGTTATGTTTAATACTATTGTATATGAAGTTATGATCAACTATTTCAAAGAAAGAGACATTATGGTAGCTACTGTTATATAGGGTTGTCTTGTGGTAAAATACTGTTCTGCTTACACTATTCTGTTCTGATCTGCTTTATTATGTCCTCTTTTGTCTTAATCTCTTTAAAATAAAAAAATGTAAAAAGGCAAATATTATTTAATAAGGTTGTAAGAGAGGGGCTTTAGTCTAATAGGATTAATGCTCTTATAAGAAGAGGAAAAGACACGAGATCTCTTTTACCAGAGGAAACAGGGAAAAAGCAGCTGTATACAAGCCAGGAAGAAAATGTCCACCAGGAACTGAATAAGAAAACAAAGGTGCATAGACCAAGCCCGAGCAGACTAATACACCACTCCTTAGTAAGTTAGTACTATGCCTCTCTCTGCTTGTATGCTAAACTTCCTTACTTTATTCTGCCCTAATCTTTAATATACTTTTTTAACCTAAAAGTTCTTATTTTAATTTTGGATTGTCTGACTTCATCCACTAGAATACAAGCTCCATGAGTGAAGAGTTTCTGTTGCTTCTACTCACTAATATAGCATATAGAACTGTAACCTAGAATAAAGCAAATTTTCCTCTAATTATCCACTAAAAAATGAATGAATCATAGTCAGCTCTTTCTTCCTTTAGGTGAATTCTGTCTCAGAACTGTATTCCCTACCCCAGTTCATCAGGCATCCTTCTGATAAGTTCATCCCACTTTGAGGGCACTATTTGAGTCCTTTGCTTAGGAACCTCAGTACTCATAACAATCAGTGCAAGGCAATAGATAACAAAGTGGGAATAGGGAGATCCTTACTCTGAGCATATCTAAATTTTCTGTCTAAATCATTCAGAATACCTGTTATTGTAATGTGGGGTTCTGTCAAAGCAGAATAGGAAACAGAGATGTGAAGCAGGTGGCTCATTTGTGAGGTGATGGCCAGTGGTCAGATGTGAAGGAGCAGACAGAGTAAGGGAGGAAAGGAAAAAATCAAGGAAATTATTACTGCTGTGAGCAACTAGAGAATATTTCTGTTGAGGGAGTCCTGGAAAATGGACCAGAATGTGTCACAGAAAGCATTCTCTCTGTCCTCCTTTGTTGTAAAGTTGCAACCAGACAGAGGCATCAACTCCAATGCCCTACTCCTCACCATATTCCCAGGGTGTTGCGTGTTCCCTCAGGAACTTGGCTGAACTCTTCAGCATGCACAGGAAATGGTCACCACAGCTATGAATAAAATCACAAGAAGGTAAAAGGAAGTGTGGTTTATGGAACAAAAAGCACCAGTTATATATGGTTACAATAAATCACATTTTATGAACCACTTTAGAATCTCATGATCAAATTATTTCCATATCCTATTCCTAAGTTTTCATTTTTTCACTTACCAAAATGAACTTTGCTAGGATATGATCCATAACATAGCATGCTGAACCCTTAAACTGAAAACAACCCAACAACCTCATGCACAGAAAGCTAGCTGGCAAATACTTAATTTTTATTTTTATCAGTATGGTCACTTGTTAGACTGTGAGAATTCTCCCTTATCCACTGTAGCTGTTCCTCTCAATAATTTCATTGTGTAGGTAAATGTATTACCCGTGATCACTGCTGTTCTTGGAGCGAGATTTGTGTGATATTTCAGCAGGAACTGCTGTCTGTCATATCAAGCTCTCCTGAAAGCCTCCCCAGGAGGCTCATCCTTCTCACTGATTAATTAAAACTGTCACACCAAGTCAGCTAAATGGTACAGTACCAAGGAACCACAATGATTTTCTCAGAGAAAAACATCTCAAAATAAGAGCTTCATCTAAGGACAAAGTGTTCATCTTTATCCAGGAAATCAGAAGTAAATTCAATCCCCATATTTTAAGGCTGTAAGAAGCTTAATAGATATAAGAATGGAAAAATAAAACACATTCAAAACACACAGAGAAACGAAGAGCTCAAGCATATCCAAAGAGATTTTCAAAGGTTCAGTTCTGTATGCTATTTATGGCTGATGAATGAGAATGTACTCAGAAAACACTTGGGTCAATAATCACCTGAAACATCATGTCTGGTAGGTTTTGGATGCATGTCTAAGTTTTGAAATAGAAATGTCCTTGGCTAGGAAGACGTGTCTGGCATATATCTTTAATAGCTGTGTCATTATTGAAACCACAATGCTGCTTTCCATTTAATACCAGATTCTGCACCTGAGAATATAACCCCCATTTCGGTTAAATATTACCCCCAAACATTCCTCAGATTTAGGCTCAAGCAGTAGTAAGCACTGATTATGTTCTGGGCAATGTGCTACATCTTCAATGTAAGCTTATTTCATATAGTCCTCACTTGAATCCCATGAAGTAGGCACCCACTGTTTAGTAAATGACCAAAAGTATATCTCAGTGAACCTGATTCTATTGTCTGAGGTGCTATAGCTTAAAAAAATAGCCCAAATTCCAAGTGCATGTTTAAAGAGTGGTTCCTTATTTGTTTGAAGACCTTAAATTATTTGACATTCCTCCATCAAGAAGGGGCTGCCCTATAACTCCTCTCCTTGAATCTAGGTCAAGTTCTAGCTTCTTCTACTACCAGAGAAGAATAGAAATGGGATCTCTGAGGCTAGATCCAAAGAAACCATGTAGTACTTTGGCTTGGTCACACAAAGCCTCCTCAGCCCTTCTGATCTATCCTAGAACCACTAAAGATTTTTGTGTTTATTCTTCACAGTGCTAAATTCCCAGGTGGCCTAGTGGTTAAAATTTAGCACCTTCAGTCTACACATTTTCACCTCTGATCAAGGAAAGAAAGATAAAACTCTAATTCATCTTGTGCTCAGTCTCTAGACTTGGTCAGCAATCTTATTTTTTTTCCAACTTGGCTTCATAATGGCCATGTTTGGGCTCACTGTCTTTTCTTTTCTGTCTTTCTTTCTTGTTGTCTGTTTGTTTGTTTGTCTGTTTACTTCTTTTGACTCTTATTAGTATGTGCTTGCAGTAAATAATGTTTACACTCACTATAGGGAATTGGCATATGTACATAACACATTTCAATTACCTTCTTTCCCCTTTCCCTCCACAATCAGATTTATTTATTTATTTATAAGACCTTATGAAGTTACTTACTATATATTCAGATTGAAAACCAGACTAATAGGCCAAAGAATGTACAAAACATGTAAGAAAACTGCACTAAGTCAAGGTACCCTCTTTCAATTACAGTTACTGTTTTCTGCAGATATCTAAATTCACTCACCTTAGGGGTCTAATTCCAATTCTTTCAACACTGAACATGAGACCTGGAAGGCAATCATCCTTCTCTCCTCTCTGCTCCTCTCTCCCAGAGAAAACATTAGTGCCAGATGAAGGGTCTATCCAGATTTTTAAAAAAAGGACAGCATCCTTAATAAAAACTGAATTTTTATAAGAATTTGATTTTACTAAGCCCTTACCTTAAATAAATGTCATCACTCTAAAAATGGAACATGTGTGGACTGTTTTAGAATCTCAGTCAGATAAAAATAATTAACTAATACAAGCCCCACAAATTAACAAAACAATTCTAATACCTTCTAAAAATAAAATCATGTATTTGTAAAGATCTTTCTACTTTGCAGACTCTAATTACAAACATTACATTCCAAAGCAGAGCAGAGCACTCTTGAGGATGAGATAAGGAGACCGAAGTCCCACACTGTAGAGTCTGTGATTTCGTACCTAAGAAGGATCCAAATTATATCCAGAAAGAACAGACAGATATTCTGCATACTGAGAGCTGATAGACAATAAGAAAGTTTCATCCCTAGACGCAAAGGCTAAACACACAGTATCTAAGACCTGAAATTCTATTCAATGTTTATTCCTTTGTTTAAGTTTTTGTTCATATTTATAGTGAGATCTTGTCAGTTACAACTTAGTGATGGTCATGGACCTTGCTAACTAATTGCCTAAAATAAATCTTAGCCTTTCTTTCTGGTTATAGAAACCTACTTGCAGTAAAGATAGCAAAATTCCAAGATTCTCTTTCATCTAAGAGTGATTATATGACCCAGCTCTGGCTTAAGTGGAAATCACTGGGAGGTACTATCCTAGAATTTTGTTGAAAGGGCAGATCTAAAACAATGACCCTTCTCAATATTCCTTTGTGGAAGGAGAGAAAAAAGAAATCACTAAAAATATTATGAAGGGTTGGGGAATCATCCAGGAAGTTTTGAAATGAACAAGAGGGCACAAAGAAGTCACAGGCTCTAAAACCTGTACAGAACAGAAGGAGTCCATGAAAGAGAACATCGCGGAAGTGAAAGGTATGGAGACCTGAATATAAGCTTATCATAAACAACTTCTCTTAAATTTTAGCTTTCATCCACTAAATAAATAGAGAAAGAATTCTATGTCCTCTCTTAAATTGGAAAAAAGGAAATATTTCTTTATAATACCTTTATGAAATAGTAATTTGAATGCTCAATATGTTGATTGTTAAAGATTATTTTTCTGGAACAAATCTAGGTAGATCACAATTCTAGTGAAGATGCTTTCATAAACAACATAGAAAGCCAAAGTTTCCTCTGAATAATGTCTCCACAGGAACTTGTGGGGGGTATGAATGCATTGATTAAAATGAATACAGAATTGCTGTTTTCATTCTCCTGAAGTACAGTTGTTAGTTGTTGGTCATCAGCAATGCATAAGTTGATACAAACGTTATCTCAGATGTCTTCAACTTTTTTACCCAGAGCTTTTATATTTAAGGCCTGAGATGTTAAAGCAGTCCAAAGAGAAAAATATCATCCATTTTTTAACTTTAAATCTAAAGTATTCATCTAAGTCTGTTTCTTTCATGAAGAGTTCATGCATAAAACCAAGCAGAGGGCAACTCACAACAGTGAAGTTTCCTTTAACTTGGAAGGATCTGACTCTTTACCACCTCTCTTTGAAGATGCTTCCATAAGTTACAGCATATTTTGTAAAATCTCACCAGCTGATAACTGCATGGGAATCAGGTAAGCCACAATATTTTACTTAAATCCCACAGAGAAAAATTTGGCTATAGCACAGGGGTAAGGCAACAGTTCTCAAACTTTAATATGCAATATGAATCATCTGAGGATCTTGTTAAAATACATGCCCTGATTTAATAGGTGACACTTGAAATCGTGCATTTCTAATAAGCTCCTGGATGAAGATAATGAAGATGGTCTGTGAACTATACTTTGAGTAGCCAGAGAGTAAACCACAGGCCAACTGGGCTGCTCATCAGGATAATTTAGGGCTCTTTTTTTTTAAAGTCTTAAGTAGTGTCCCAGCACTGCAGAATCAGAATCTCCAGGAACGATGGTCAGGAGTTTGTATTATTAACCATCTCCCCAGGCAATTCCTATTCAGCCATGAGCTGCACCTGTCTGTAATGACTAGCACAGCATGTCTCAGAGTGTACCTGTTACACCCCCTGACTCAGAATCGCTTGAGGAGCCTGATGACCATGCAGACATCTCTCTGCAGATACCTCCTTCTCCTGTGTGTGTAGTAGGCAGAGGGGTGGAGGGAATAAAAAAGCCAAGGAGACGGTATAAAATGGGAGATTGACGTCACTTCAACTCCTGCCTGGCAGGAGTAGAGAGGGCCAATTCTTCTGGAAGCGACAGCATGGAGCATGCCTCCCACTGCCTGACCACCTGCACCTCCTTCCTTCTCTTCCTCTCCCTGGCAACTCTAGCAGCCAATTTTTCCCCTCAGGGATTGCTGGAGGCCCTAGTTTAAGAGAAATAAAGAAAAGAAATTGGAGAGGGATGAGAAAAATTAAGTGAAACTACGGGAATTATAAACAGCCATAGGCTTCTGTTTATATTACAACTCAATCCGATGGGAAGTAAATAAATGTCTACTTTAATATATGTATTTGCTGAAACAAGAATACATAATTCATCCCAAAGAGTATGTTCCAACTGAATAAAATTGCATCCATGTGCAGAAAAGCATCTAGAAGTCTGTGCATCGTATTAATCCCCAAGTGGCAGAATTTAGGATAATGGTTTCCTCGCTTTAGTACAGTAATCTATATTGTTTGAAAGTTTCACGCTAGGCATGGATTATTTTTATAATCAGAAGTAAATAATAAAGACACTTTTATTTGAAAAAAAACAAGTGGTCACAGTTCTAAAATACTATAGGTAGCAGACACGGAAGGATACAGCCCTTCCTTCTAGAAGCTCACAATCTCAGTTGTCAGAATCATAGATGCTTTCTGAGTTGCAGGGAGATGCAGATAAGTGATCCCACAACAGATGTCCAGGCTGGGTTCACCTGCAGGGAGTGGCATTTGACCCAAGAATTCAAGGATGTATTACAAATGTATGCTATTGAATGCATATCTGAAGAAGAGTTTAGTAAAGCAGGAAAACATATCAAGGTTAATTAATATTTATTGGGAGAGAGATCTATGGAGCAGAGGTACACATGCTGTGTTCCTGTATCAGATACAGGAACACAGCATGTTACAATAATGACATGAGCCCACAGCTCAGTGAGATACTGAGAAAGTAAAGTTGAGATCTTGTCAAAGGTGAAGCCATTCCTTATGGCCTGGTGTCATCGACTAGCTGGGGCATTTAGTAGAAGCTTGAGTAAAACTAAAACACAAATTTACAGGGAAAAAAACTTTCATTGGAAAGTTAGAAGGAAAATGAGACAAGGCTCCAACTCAGGTAACTGTGTTACTGTGGGTTACTGGCTCCAGGGACAGGTTTCCAAATTCATGTGTGTGAAAAACAGAATCAAATGTACTATATGATTGCAAGAAAACAGTGGCAAAATTTGTTAAGACAAAAGTACACTTGGAGTGAGTGGGCTCACACCACCAAAAGAAAAATGGCACAGGTGCCCAGGGAATAAGAGAACAGGGCTTATTTAATGTCCCTCCTGCTTTACAGTACTGCCCACTGGAGTCCTTCAGAGTATGATTTACAGGGTACTGAGCCATGTCCACTGTGTATGTCCTTTCCCATAATTTGCTAAGTTATTATTATGTGTATAATTTCATCCCACATGCATAAGCATTCAATGACGTCCGGGGGAAAAATTACTGTAGGTCATACTGAAGAAAAGGGAGGTCTAGTGCATCTGTGTCTTATTTTGGAATTTCCCTGGGTGGGCTTAAGGGAGTCTTTGTTTCCCTTGTTCCATCCACCATGTAGTAAGCCCTGGGGTAAGATTAAGTGTTTCCCAGGTTCAAGTGATTGGAGGGGAATGGTCCCACAACAAGTGGAGGGGAGCCATATTATAAACCCCAGTTGCACTGTCTATATTATTCCTCCCCTAGAGATGTGATGTTTGAAAATCTATAAGGCATGCTGGCGGGGGATGTCTGTCCTCTATATAGCTGCCTCCTGCTAAGTAAGGTGCTGACCCTGCCTGTGCAGATACCATGAAACTCTTACCCTGCCTAATATAGTGCATTAAGGGAACTGTACTTCATCTCCAGAGATCCACTGGTGAGTTCAAGATATGAGGTCAAGTTTTGGTCCTTGGCTTGAATCATCATCTGTAGTTTCATGGCAGTTAAATGAGAGGAAACAAGTAACTAAGAGATTAAGTCTGAACAGCCCAAATAATTTGGACTATGAGAAACATTAGTAATGGCTCCACCAAGAGAAGTAAGCAGAATACCCAGTTCCAGATCTGACCATGATCCCTATAACTCAAATAATTCCTGAATTTTGGATCCTTGAGTTGACTGATCATCTAAGTGGCCTTGACAGCCCAAATCAGGCTGCTATTGTACCATGCTAGTGGATAAACTCATGTCAAATATATTGGCCTCAATAAAGCCAGGTTGGCTGGATGCCTGCCAACTAGGACACAAGTTTCCAGAAGCTTGAGTGACAGAGTAACCCTAAGCAGAACGATTATACCTCTTCCAATCACTGGTGTGGGGCATTTTTGTCCTTAACGTGAAGACAGTCTGGAAATAAAATCTCCCAACTAATTGGTCAGTTAGCTGACCAGTCGATTCCTTCAACACTCACAACCTATGAAAGAGATGATAATTTGCCTCATGAAATGTTAGGACCTAGGAAAGACTCCTTTAACCAAAAATAAAAATTCTTATCTGTTACCTGAGGCTTTTTCAAGGTGATAGGGATGCCCTTGTGTGACAGTCACACAGGCTGCCTCAGATACCTTAAATCAGTTTTGAAGCGTTCTTCCCTGGTCACCATGATGGTAGGTGAAATGCAGGAAGTTTCTCCTCCAGTGCCAAGGGTTCTCACCTGTATCCAGATAATTTTAGCAAGGATTTGATGACTTTTAAGGGTGCTCTTTTAACCAGTACCCCAGTTGTTTACACTTGAAGCACCTAGACTTGCTTCCATTGGCCTTTGGGTTAGCCCCATTTCCCTTAGGGCCATGAGCTTTGTTATAGCCCTGATCCATCCATGAAAGCCAGCATGACTTTAGCCTTCCTTTTCTACTTAATACATGTTTCCTCTTTTCTGGGTCATGGCTGCTAAAGATTATGAAATACAAATCAAACAACTGAATCCTCCCCATTGTGGGCCCTATTGGAATTTTTGAAGCTTTCTCTTAAATTTCTGGAGCTGACTATCTAGTAGAATACTGACACAGATCATTTGGCCCTCTTTAGACTCCATATCTAAATTAGTATATCTGCATTGGGCCTCTTTGAGCCATTGTTGGAAACCTAATGGATTTTCATCAGAGCCCTGGCTGATACTCCAGAGCTTGTCATAATTTATGTACTTGAACATGTCTTTATGTATACCCATTAAGATAGTCAGGAGATACAACCTCCATTTGTATTCTCCAGCCCATATTACAGTTCCATTTGAGGCCTTCTTGGGACTCACATAGCACCTTGATTGGCTCATTACCACTGAGTATGACCACAAAGGCCTCATCATTGGCATGTCTTGAAGCTTTTGTATCTTTTCTCTTTCTAGTGTTGTGCAGCAAGAAACCAGAATAACAGGCATCTTGCCAAACCAGATTGAAAGCCATCAACAGGGTATGCAGTCCAGTGAATTTCTCAGGGTCCTCAGAGAATGTCTTATTTGTCTGCATTGTTGGGTATCTATGACTGAAACAGGGTCCTGAACTTGAAAGTATCATCTGCATCAGCCACTTCTCAAAAGAGTAGGATGATGGTAGGCTTAGATGTTGAGTTTCCTGAGTCAAGAGCCTTATAGATCTAGTATGGAATGGGCTCCGGAGGTTCTCTGTCTCTCCTGGGAGTGCTGACAGTGTGAGTTTGTAAGGAAGTAGCCGTTTAGGGGGTGATGCTAACAAGAGGAGGTCCTCAGAAGCATCAGTTGCTGAGGAGGAGTCAGCCCAATAGCAGGGCTGACAAAGATCAAGCTTTTGATATAGGCCTTGAAGACTTGGACATCAGGCACCTCCAGTCACTCAGAGGAAGCATCCAAGTGGGGAGCTAGGTGGAATGGACAAAATCTTCCCCAGGATGTGTCTGCGGGCAGAAGAAGTAAGAATTATGTTGTAGAAAGCTTACATATTGTCCCCTGGATTGGTCCCTGTCCTGTTCAACCCCAGAGTGTCCCCTAGTAGTGCTCAACTCCTTGAGATTCTGGTGTCAGAGATATCTGACTTTATATGGCATTAGTATCACTTCTTTTAGGCTTCTAGGTTTCCTCCTTGAGCCTCAGGCTATCTCCCAGACAGGAGTCTGGGCCCAGGATCACAAAACTAGATGCCTTAGAGACACTTAGCCAATAATCAAATTGCTTAAATAGTGATATGCCTATCCTAAGGGTGGGTAGTAAAAAGTGAGTTAGCTGCAAATGCTGAAAGGGAAATTGGTGCTTTCCCTCTGAGAGACCTCAACAAACAATAAATTTTCTCCTCACCCTATTCAGCTTGAAATAATTCCCTGTGTAGGTGCCCTTTAGGGGACCTAGTTCCAACAGAAGAGAGCAATTTAACAAATGATCCTTAGTTTTGACCTACTATCCAGGGATTCCAAGTTTCAATAAGCTTGAGCTCTAGTCATGGCAAG